TTTCCTTCACACACTCCTGTAGCCAACTTTTGTTTCAGATTTTTCTAATACCACTGAGCCACCTAGCTGCCCCAAAATTCTAGTACTGTAAAATTCTCTCTCTCCTCTCTGTTACTCTCTGTCTCTCTCTCTCTCTGCCACCCTTTGCATAAGAACACACAGATCAACAATAAAATAGTTAACTACTTTATTATAAAGAGAAACAAATTAAAAAAAAATTCGTGAACAGAAAGCAAATAAAACTCTCCAGAAACAAAGATTGGGAATAGAATCTCCTGGCTCTTAGGGAAGCAAGAAAAGGAGTGGGGAAAAGAGGATGGGAAAGTGAAGGCCCACCCATTCTCTTCCCAGCAGAAGGAAAGGCTTTAGCCATCCTGCACCTGCTCCATGTGGCTCCAGAATTACGTGGCCACAATCTTCGTCTTGTTTTCTCATTTTCGCTCCCAGGTTACTCATGTTAGCCGGGGCAACAGTCACAGCAAGCAGTTTATTTGGTGACTCTGTCTTCATTTCCACTGGTTCCAGTGGAAGGGAGGAAGGAAACCAGCATTTATTAAGTGTTTACTATGTGCCAAGCACTTTACAGATACTATTTCATTTGATCCTCACAACTACTGGGGGGACGCAGCTGCTGTTATGATCCGCATTTTACAGTTGAGGAAACTAAGGCAGACAGAGGCTAAGTGACTTGCCCAGGGTCACAAAGCTAGGAGGTGTCCAGGCTGGATTTGAGTTCAGGTCTTTTTTTATTCCAGGCCTAGTGTTCCATCCACTGGGCCACCTGGTGGCTTTGATTCCTCCTGGGTCCCCAGTGTTCCTGTCTCCCAATCCTGTTCCAGCTCCATGCTCACAGGTCTTGCTCCATTTTGAGGTTTCTTCTCCCCTTCCTGAAAAGGTAAGGTCTAGGTTAATGGTCAGAGGGTCCCAATGGTTCTCCAGGGGCAGGAGTAGGGGGCCGCTGGAAGTTTCTGTCCCTCTGCGACATCTTCTCCAATGCGCTGTGACATTCTTTCCTAAGGTCAGAAATTTCGCAGTCTCTTACAAAGTCAGTCTTGGTCTAGCTGACATCTGTCATTATACATTACAGCACAAAAATAAGCATTAGATCTTAACAGAATAAGGATGATTAATCCTGCACCCAAGGGATCTATCCAATGTCAGAGTGCCATTCATAACAAATATACACAAACAATATGTTTAATAGAGATAGCATAGTGTAAAGTAGGGCAGGCATTAGGTGGCATAGCAGATAGAGTATGAAGATTCATCTTCCTGAGTTCAAATCTGGCCTCAGACACTTACTAGCTGTGTGACCCTGGGCAAGTCACTTAACTGTTTGCCTCAGTTCCCTCATCTATAAAATGAACTGGAGAAGAAAATGGTAAGCCACTTCAGCATCTTTGCCAAGAAAACCCCAAAAGGGGTCAAAAAGAGTTAGACATGACTGAAACTTACTGTGTGGCCTTGGGCAAGTCACCTAACCCAGTTTGCCTTAGCTTCTTATTTGTAAAATGAGGGGGAGAAGGAAACGGCAAATCACTCCAGTTATCTTTGCCAAGAAAACCCCTAAAGTCAAAATGACTGAACAGCAACTAGTGCAAAGTATTGTTTGATCCAAGGCTTTGGTGGCTACTAGTCTAAATTATGCAGGGAATATTACTCGCACACATCATAGAAATTCAATGCATATCCACTGAACAAGCAAATATGCATAACAGCAACAGAGAAGCAAGAACATCAGTGAGTCTACAGAGCAGCAAGACATACATAAATGCTGGCACACACACACACAATTATGTAAATGTATCAAGGGGACATGCCTGGTACTAAAACAAAAAAACTAAAACAAAAGTGAATAACCATGAATAAGAAAATAACAAAAGCAACCTCAAGCCACCAATAATTAATATGCATATGAATAAACATAAACAATTCCCTGCAAGACCCACAGTAAACATTAGCATTCTCCTTAGGCTACTCTGTCACCACTTCTACCGTTTCCTCTACATAACACTGTTTGGTTTGCTTTGCAAATGTTAAAAGGATTTAACTGAGCCAGTCTCTAACCTGACAAAGTGCCAGTAATCAGGTGGCCGTTTAATTAATTAGTTTCATTATGAGGAACAGATGTGCAAATCAGGAATTCTCCTGATGAGAATTCCACCTTGCTGAAGTGAAGACAGAGATTATATACATAAATCACAAATAAGAAGGGAGAGGGGAGAGGTGGATTACAAACAATCGTTCCCAGGGCCAGAGTGGTTTCCCACACCCAGTCTTTACAACAATTCCCACTATACAACAATTCTTTGCCAATTTTGGGGAGCGTGACCATCCCCCAAGACACAGAACCGGAGTTCTGTGATGGGAATAGTTTCTACAACCTTTGATTTGCTTCACTTAAGATACACAGGTACAAGTATGCCAGCGATTGTGTGTTTGAGTGATCATTTCAAGCTGCATTGTGAGCTTCTGATTCACAAGCCAGAAAAGGCAATTCTGAAAAATCTAATCTATTAGTATATTACCCATATCACACGAATTATTATAAAAATCATAATTCCTTCACACGAACTTGACAGTACTTTATAAATATTAGTTATTCTTAAGTTATATATTATCTATCATTATTAAGTTATTATTATCATTATTATTAAGCTTAGCAGGGATGAGAGTGAGAAAGGTGTAAAGACAAGAGGTTGTGATCAGAGATGGGGCTTTCACTGTTTGAGATTTTGAAGGGAGAACAGTTCTGTGTGATGATGATGCAGCCTAGCCTTGACTAGATTGGTGTGTGCTTGAAGTGAAATGGAACTAATGAGAACTCACATTTAATTTATTTAATTCAATGAGAACACACACTTTCTTTTTTTTTCTTCAAATTTTATTTATTTATTTATTTTTGGCTAGGCAATGGGATTAAGTGACTTGCCCCAGGGTCACACAGCTAGTAAGTGTTATGTGTCTGAGGTCACATTTGAACTCAGGTCCTCCTGAATCCAGGGCCGATGCTCTATCCACTGGGCTGCCTAGCTGCCCCCATTTTATTTTCTAACAGCTAGCATTTATATAGCACTTTAAGATTTGTAGCAAAGTAATAACAACAACAATAATAATGACTAGTATTTGTACAAAACTTTAAGGTCTGCCAAGCACTTTACAAATATTTTCTCATTTGATTATCACAACAACCCTGGAAAGTAGGTGCTATTATGTCCATTTCACAGATGATGAAACTGAGGAAGACAGAAAGGTCACTTGTTCTGGTCAAACCTGAACTCAGATCTCCCTCTATCCACTCCACCATCCAGCTGCCTCTAAGTACTTTCCTCACAACAAGCTTCTGAGATAGGGCCAGTATCATCCCCATTTTATCAATAACCAAAATGAAGGAAGCAGCCCTTAACTGATAATTAATTATTAATTCTTCTGTCTGTTAACTGATAATTAATTATTAATTCTTCTGTCTGTTCTTGTTCTCTAATTAATAATACTTCACAATTATGTAGCACCTTCCCCCAGTCAGTCAATTAAGAAACTTATTAAGCCCTTGCTATGTACCAGTTACTATGAAGTAGGTAGTAAAAGTGATTATTCTTTTCTATCATGCAAAGAAACGGGGTCAGAGAAGGGTCCCACAGCTGCTAAATGCTAGACCTGGATGAAGGGTACTTCTAAAGTGATTATAGAACTTAACAGGTAGCTTGGTGGCTCAGTGGTAGAGTTCCAGGCCTCATGTCAGGAAGACCTGAGTTCAAATGTGACCTCAGACACTTAGCTGTGTGACCCTGGGCAAGTTATTCATCCTCTTAGCCTTAGTTTACCCTTCTGTAAAATGGGGGAAATAATTGCACCTGCCTTACAAGGTTGTTTTAAGGATTGAATAAGCTAACTTATGGGGAGCACTTTGCAAACTTTAAAGCACTATATAAATGCTATTATTGTTAATACTACTACTGTTACTCTTGTGGTTTGTCCTTTGTTCTAGAAGAGGACCATGACATCAGGGAGATGATGCTATGGCATGCAAGTGAATTGGATTTAAGTGAGGGAGGACTGTGTAAGGTCACCAGCCTCACTTTCTCCTCCACAGCCATCTGGGTCCAGTGGCCAGATATGGATCAGAATGACTGGAGATGGTGCAGCACTGCTACTATGACAAGACAAGACAAGACAAAGGCAGCTGGGTGGTGCAGTGAACACAGTGCTCAACCTGAATTCAGGACGACCTGAATCCACATCCACTCTATCACTTGCTAATCCAGGGTGACACTGGGCAAATCACTTTAATTACTCTCAGTCTCAGTTTCCTTATATGTAAAATGGAAATAATAATAGCACTTACCTCCCAGAATCGCTGTGAGGGTAAAATGAGATAATATTTGTAAAGAAATCTGTAAATCTTAAAATGTAAATGCTAGCTGTCAGAAAATAAAATAAAAAAGAAAGACAACAAGGATTGTGATGGGAGGGAGGGAGTAGTACATTCTAACTATGGGGCACAGTCTCTGCAAAGGCTCAGAGTGAGGAACTTGCCAGAGACGTACTGGAGCAGGTCACAACTGGAGCCCATTGTTAAATTTTCGGTGTGAACGGAGATTGGCAAATGCTACAAATCAGGGCTTGATTCGTTGTCTTGTCGATTGTCTAGACTTAAGAAATTGTTAATAATGCGAATGATATTTAAAGGTGTGCCATGCGTGCATACATTTTAATTTTTTTTCCTGAAAGGCTGTTGTTAAATATTTACTAGCACATCCAGGGGATGCAGTTTGGCTAGAACTTAGAACTCGCGAAGGTGAAGTAAAACTTAACTTACTTAAGAGGGAGCCAAATCTTGCAGAAAGCAGGAGCTCCTCTCTTGCCCTCTCATGGGCTCTTTCACGTCTCTATGGTTGATGGAGACCTGTCCTATGGACTAGACGCCTATGGGAGAATGACCAATCCGAAGACGATTTCAGAATCACATGGTTAGGATCTGATCGATTATTGGTTGCCTTCGGTAAAGCACGCCCCCTTCTGCTCCCGCCTTCGGCTTTAACTCTCCGCCGCTCAGACGCCCGCTCCTTTCCATTCGGCGTTGGTCTCTGGGTAAGTCGTGCTCGTTGCCCGGGAGGTGGGAATTGGGGAATCTGGCGGCCGTGATGACAACTATGAAAGCGTGTTAGACTACTGACTACCGTGAAGTGAATCGGAGTCTGAGCCAAGGCCCTGCCGAGCGGTCCGGGTCGAGACTTTATCACCTCGAAGACCCTTCACTGACTTTGCCCTTGTCCCCGCAGGTCCCGGCGTGTCCGGACGTAGCGACGGAGCGGTTCTGCGCACGCGCGCCCCCATACGACCTCCGCCGCCCCTCCCCTTCGTGTAAAAGCTGCCAATAAAAAAGGTTCCTAAGGTCTCAGCCTTGTGTAGCGTCTGTGTCTGAGTCTGATTGACGTCTGCCGCACTTGCCTTTGAACCCGTGGAACGCCTGTGCTGTGGTATCCCGGGCCAAGTAGCAGTGCAAGAGCAGCCCAGGCTTGTTTATAACTGGTTCCGCTTAGCCCAAATTTGAGCGGATCTTTTAAGGACAAGCGACATACGGCGCGACCCCCCTTGGGGGGGAGGAGTTTCGAGGTGGGGGTGGGGCGCGGAATAGAACTATGCACGTGGTTATTGGTAGGAGATCACCCCTAAGTGCAAGCTTCAGGAGTGTTTCGCCAATCAACCCTCTCTGGCTGTTATCGCTAAGTACTTTTGTGTAAAGACAGTGAAATGCATCCTCCTCCAGGAGCTTATCTTTGGCATAGAAAGGCACACGTGTGTGATTATGGGTAAAATATTTTTAAAGACCTGGTTTTGGGCAGTACTAGCTGCCGGGTGGGATCAAGAAAGCGTTCAATGGCGGTGGCACCCGAGTTTTGAAGGAAACGGCTTTCTAAGGAGTGGAGGGAGCAAGTTAAGTTACCCGACTGAGAAAACGGCAAAGAGGCTGGAGATGTGAGAGGACCGAGAAGAAAGCCGTTTTGGCGGTAGCTTAGGATGCATCATAACGTGGTAGGACTGGAAATTCAGGCTGTAAAAATCTTTTGGTTAAAGTGCTTACAGGGTAGTTTTAAAAAAAAGTAGAACAGCTCCTGCCTACGAGAAACTTGCTTTCTAAAGTGGGGGAGATGTGCAGCATGTGGTTTTGTGGGAAAGGAACAGTCTTTGCTTCCTTTTTATTCCCAGGGCCTAACACAGAACGGGAGGTGCCTTGGGAAAGAGAAACCTATTGGGATACTCTGTAGTTTAGGACAAACCTGTCATGTTAAGGGGGGGGGATCCTGTAAAAGCTTTGGGGAGAAACACTTTAGACAAAATAGTACAAATTTTTGGCTGGGGGGAAAAAGAATGGGCAATTCAAATAGTTCGATTTTAGATTTTGAGACTTTGCTTCTCAAGAGATAATTAGGGATAGTCTTAGAGAAGACATTTTGGTAGTTGGCAAAAATGTTAAAGATTTGAGGTAAGGCACTCACTGTAGGGTGAAGGGCCCTTGGGTTTTTGGCTGGGACTAGAGCTTCCATCTTGGAAATATGCCTCAAACGTCTGATCTTGGCCCCCTTTCTTAAAAATTCCTAGCTCTGGCATAGATTCAGACTCTTCAGCTTGGTCTTCAAGGCTCTTAGTAATGCAATGTGCCTTCTGTATTTTATGCCACTTTTATGAATTTTACTTTACCCCACACCTCCCCAAAATTAACTTGCTGTGGGCAATAGCAGTCACCCACTCCTGGGATGTGTTACCTGCCTAACTACTACTTTTGGAATCATTTCAAAGCTTAGCTGATTTCACCCCCTCCGTTTTTGGTTCTCTTTACCCTTATATAACCCTTACAGAAACTTGCTTAGCTTGGTTGAATTTAAGGAAGATTAGGGTTATAGCTGGGAGTAGGAAGTCAGGAGGTAGAGATCAGGGTCTAGAAAATGCCAGGTGTGTATTAACACCAGTAAAAATGCTTGGAAATTGGAGAGTGTCTAACAGTCCCTACTGTAAAGCTTCCTCTTTTTTTTTTCCTTTTTTTCTCTTTTTGGTGAGGCAGTTGGGGTTAAGTGACTTGCCTGGGGTCACACAGCCAGTGAGTGTCAAGTGTCTGAGTCCCTCGATCTTACTTTCAAATGGAAACAAATCTATTGCTCCTTTCTGTATCCTCAGTGCCAGGCATGCAGTAGGTGCTTAAATGTGTTAGAGCAAATGACATTGAGGGAAGTGGGGGAGACTTAATGTGCCTCCTGCAAAGAGGCATAGGTTGGAGATAAGAGAACCACCTCTTGTAGATTCCAATTTCTGTACTTTTTAACCATTCAGTCTTCTGTCCTATTGTCATGACCACTGAATGTTGGCCCCTAGATACTTGTGTTCTATACACATTCATTCCCATGGGTTTAATTATGTCTGCAGTTGATTTCTACATGCAGACCGGGTCTCAGTTCCTAAGCTCTAGACCCAAATCAAGTGGGAATAGCTTACAGGACATTTTGAATGGTTAGAACTCACACTATTATGGGGTAGGCCCAAATTTCATCATGTCCAAAACAGTTCACCTATCCTTCCCTCTCCATGCCCACTCCCCCTTTTTAAACTTCCCTATTATTTCCAAGACACAGGTTTATCCCAATCTAAGGTCTGTTTTTGACTCCTGGCATACTTTAGCAGTGACTAAAGCAACATTTTTATTTCTGTGACATCTCAAATCTGTCCCCTTCTGGCTGTTATCACTATCATCTGAACTGTGCAACACTAGCCTGATTTTACTTTTTCCTGCCTCCTGTCTCAGGTCTGTGTTGTATTTAGGTGCTAGAGTGAGCTTCGTAAAGTGCAAGACAGATCATGTAACTCCATTACTAAATAAACTCGCTAGAATCAAACATAAAGTGGCACTTAAGTCAGCATGGCTGCTTCCTATATGTTTGTTTTTGGTGAGGCAACTGGGGCTAAGTGACTTGCCCAGGGTCACACAGCTAGTAGGTGTTAAATGTGTCTCAGGCTGGATTTGAACTCAGGTCCTCACTGCAGGGCTAGTGCTCTATCTGCTGTGCCACCTACCTGCCCTGGGTATTTTTTTATGTTCTTTACTAGTTAACAAACATGTAGTGTCCACTTAGTAGGAATATGAAAGGCAAAAAGGACCCAACTGTCCAATGGGGGACATGACAAATAACTATGTATAAACAAAATATATACAGGATAAATTGGAGAGAATCTCAGGGATTGCATAATGGAGGCACACACCCCATCCTGAACTTAACCCTGGGAAAACTGAATCATGAAGACCTGGGTTCAAATCCCACCCCATCCCCTCCCCCCAAACCCCATTTCACCATTTTTGATTCTATCACTTAACCGTTGTTTCTTTATCTGTAAAATGGGGCTGGAGGGGAGGATGGATTTGATAGTCTCTTGTCCTTTTTAGCCCCAAATCTTGTGACTACAAATGTTCTTTGCATTGGTTGTCCCTCTCAAGCTCTCTCTCTTGGAATCCCTGGGTTCAAGACTCAAATATCTCCTACAGGAAGCTTTTCCCAGTCCCCTTAGCTGCTAGTGTGTATTATAAATGTATATATAACTCCCATTAGAATGTGACCTCCTTGAGGGTAGAGACTTTTCATTTTTGGCATTTGTGCCTTGAAAGGAGCTACTTTTTATTTTAAAAAAATTCTAATTTAAATATTTGTTATTCAGTCATGGACCTTCATGACCCTATTTGGGGTTTTCTTAGCAGAGATACTGGAATGGTTTGCCATTTCCTTTTCCACCTCAGTTTACAGATGAACAAACTGAGGCAAACAGGGTTAAGTAACTTGCCCAGGGTCACACAGCAGTTAAGTGTCAGAGGCCACATTTGAACTCAAGATGAAAATTCCTTATTCTTCTATCCACTATACCACCTAGCTGCCCTAATTTAAATAAATTGAAATATTAACATGTACAATTACAAACAACAAGCACGTTTATATGGCAAGAACAGATGAAACTAAATCTTACATATGGCTTTTAAAAAAGGTTTCATTGATGCTCATTGCAGTTGCTACCCTTCTCTCCTCAGCCACCCCCCCCCAGAAAAAACTCAAAGCCCCTCCCTTACGTAATAAGTAATCAGTCAAGCAAAACAAGTCCATGCATGGAGTCAGTCTGAGAAGGCCGGTCAGCTTCCACACTAGTTCCCCACTTCTCTGCCAAGAGGTGAAATGCACAACGCTAATCACGGTTACTGTGTTGATCGCAGTTAAGCTTTTCAGTTTTTTCCTTCATAAGAGCTTGGTCATTGTATAACCTATTCCAATTCTGCTTACTTAGTTCATATAAGTCTTCCCACATTTCTCTAAGTCCATTCCTTTTGTCATTTCTTCCTGCAACAAAATATTGTTACATCTATATGCCATGATTTGTTTGGCCATTCTCTAGTTTATAGCCAGTCTACTTGTTTCCAGTTCTTTGCTAACACACAAAAAAGTCCTTGCTAGAAGTATTTTTGCCAGTAGGAGTCCTTTTCCTCTCTGTTTGATCTCTGGGATATTTGCCTACCAGTGATATCACTCTCAAAGGGACAGTTTAGAGACCTTTGGGGCACAGTTCCTACACCCCTCCAACTGCAATTTTTTGAATTACTGATTTGGGGCCTTTTCTCAGGTTGTTGATAGCTTGATTTTCTCCCTTCAAAAACTAACTGCATGCTCATATCCTTTAGTCATTTATCTATGGGGGAATGGTTCTTTTTCTTATGTTTGTGTCAGTCCCCTAATATTTAGGGTTTCAGACCATTAGCAATAATAGTCAAGGTTTTCTTTTTCCCCTAGTTAACTTTCCTTTCTAAATACATTGATGTTTATGCAAAAACTTCTATATAATCAAAAATAGCAATTTTATGTCTTGATCCTCAGACTCTTGTTTAACAATTCTCTCCCTATCTACAGCTGTGAAAAGTACCTTATTCCTGGAGGAGTTAGAGCAGGGGTTCTTAACCAGGGATCTATGAACTTAACTTTTGGTAACTTTTAACATAATTAATTTCTTTTCTAGACCTTATGTATTTTATTTTGTGCACTTAAAAACATTGTTTGAGGAGTCCATAAGCTTCCCCAGATTGCCAGATGGATCTGTAACACAAATAAGGTCAAGAACCTCTGAGCTAGAAGTTCTAAGGGTCGAGTTGAGGGTGAGCATCAGGGAATGAGCTCTGGTCTTGTTACCAATGCCAAATAGGATTTAACACAGGATGCCATCCCCGCAACATTTGACCTCCACAACCTGATCTCTTCTGTCCGCTCACAGGTCTACCACCCTAATTCAGGACCTAAGGACCTTTCTTAGGCTACTGAAATAGCCCCATAATTGATCTTGCCCCAAGTCTTTTCCCCTCTCAATCTTCTACTACTGCCA